AGACACCTCTGTCCCTCCAGACACGCACACGAGGACTAAGGGTGTGATGGGCTTCGCCTCTCCATCTACACCCTGCCGAAACGCGCTCCAGGGGAGGTGCCTCTGCCCTCGGAGGTGCTGCCGTTTGCTTGTGCCCGCGCTGGTGCCGAACCCAGAGCCGCTCTACCGGAGCGAAGCGACTCCGGTGTAAACGGGAGCAAAACTCGGCCTGAGGACTTCAGTCCCTCCGCAAACGCCGCTGCTCCCGGTGCTGTGGCGATGCTCAGGACTCTGTACCGAGTCGGGCAGAGGGGTTGTTAGCTGCTTGCTGTGGAGGGACTGGAAAACCACTGGGGATCTTCGTGCATCTCACCAGAAGCGATGGCTGGGTTGGCTTCCTGGTACGTTTCTTGCTGTTAAAGGACGGGGTTGCAGCAGGCATGGGTGGGGTTGTGCAGCCGATGGAGGATGAACCCTCTGGTTTCCTTCTGCGGGGTCAGTCACTGACCATGCTCCTAACAAAATCACCATTGGAACAGAGCCCTAGGTGGCTGTGCCTTGGGAAGGAAAGGGTTTAGCAGGGCTGCTGGTGGTCTTCACAGCTACCAGGACCTTTGCTGGAGGGAGCTGGGGGCTGCCCTTGCACGTGAAGCGTTTGAGGTTTGCCTGAATTCTTTCCAGTGGTGCCCAGCGACAGGACAAGGGGCAATGGGCACAAACTGAAGCAGAGGAAGCTCCAGCTGAACACGAGGAAGAACTTCTTCCCTCTGAGGGTGACGGAGCCCTGGCCCAGGCTGCCCAGGGAGGCTGTGGAGTCTCCTTCTCTGGAGATATTCCAACCCCCCTGGCCGCGGTGCTGTGCCCCCTGCTCTGGGTGACCCTGCTTGGGCAGGGGGTTGGGCTGGGGGACCCACAGAGGCACCCCCTACCATGCTGGGATTCTGTAAATTCCCCAGCCAGGCTTCTGGCTAGCTGGGTCCCCCGCTGGGAGCCGGTCTGCCCACGTCTGTCTGTTCTTCAGGATGAGCCCCAGCACGGTGGGGAACCTGCTGCTGGGTGTAATGCCTCCTTCCCAGATCTTCTGCCAGTTCCCACCTCGCTCCGCGTGGCCTTTCAGACAGCTCGTTACATTTCTGCTATGATCTGATAAATGCAGCAAGGAGCGTCAGCAATTACAGCGAGTGTCAAGAGTTAATTGGGCAGCTTTCAAGGTAGAGACATTTCTTTGTGTACGTACAGAGATATGACGTGCTCAGAATATCTTCCCCTCCTGATCTTTCGTGCTGGAGACGTGTATATTGCAGTCGGTTAACGCAAGACAAATTATGTCATTCTTCTTGATTCGCCGCCTGCTCTGCCTATGGTGCTTTGCCTCCGGGTTGTCTCATTAAGTTGTCCAAACATGGCAAATGCAGCAGCTGAACAGGCTCGGCTGTTTCTCGAAGTTAATCGCCTTGTACGCACCAGCATCGTTGATTCCTCGCTGCGCCATCCGCCACTGCCTTGTCCCGGCGCTGGTGCCCCGGAGGGCGGGCCTCTGGGGTGCCTCCAGCTGGGGCTGCAATTTTCTCCTCACAATTAGGCTGCCTGCAGTTAATCCAGGTGCTGATTTTTGTCCGAAGTAGACACCAGAAAAAACTCAGGTGAGCTGATGCTTCCTGCTCACGGGCCGGCAGTGGCGAGTGGGAGGGCGGTTGGCCAGATCACCCTCCTGGCAGTGGGCGCGGTGTCTTTTGTAGCAGTTTTAATGACAACCCCCCCCAAATCTTACCCCCTGGTTTTAATTGTTGAAGGTTGCCGCGTGCCACAGTGCTGATGTTCTCCCAGGTCAGCAGATTTTACAGCTGTTGGAGACCAAAATGTTCAGCTCTGACTGAACTCATCATGGTGTGATGAACGTTTCCAAGGGGCAGCCTGACCCGTGGGTCGGGTGGGGACGGCCCCTTCTTCCCCATATGTGTCGAAGCACCCTCACTTGGGCAGCGGTCTGGCGGGGGAGAAGACTTGGGAGCAGTTTATCGCGGCGCTGAAAAGGTAATTGCTGTTTGTAAGGACGTGGAGCCCGAGGACAGGCGCTCCCTTCTGCCGCAGCTCTTTCCCAGCACCTCCCGGCCTGCGCTCCGGGATGCCCTCGCTTTCCAAAGACCCAGCTCCGTCACCGGGACAGCCGTGCTTTCCCTGTGGGCCCTGCAAGCATCTCGGCACCGGACGGGAGCGTGGCGTGCACCGATACTGCGGGAGCAAGCCGCGGGGTGGCTGCGCCGCTGA